GAAAAATATCACTCTCCTTCCATGCTTCACATTCTTTCTTTATTCTTTCCATCTCTCCTCCCTTCCGTCTCTCCGTCGGCCAGGCTTATGATTAGAATTTAGTAAATTATCTGCTTATTACTGGTTTTATCTAAGGGGAGGGGGAGGGGGTGGCTGGCTGTCATATCTCATCTCCTATCTTTTATCAGTTGTTGAGCTTTTTTCTTGGACTTCAGAGAGCAACGGCAAGAACTGAATGAGTTATTGCTATGAGCAATGGGCAAGCTAAAGATTCATATACATTTTAAGCATATACGGTGATAATGGTAATACTAATGATGAGATAACAACAATAACAATATAATAATGGTGATGATGATGATGGAGGAGGAGGAGGAGGAGGGAAAATGTCTTACAGGAAGAATATTAAAACCTTCGTAAAGCACTGCAGATTTCATAATTGTTTAGCTCTCTATCCACAGGTTCCACAACAAGGAGAACAGACCCACCCACGGCATTGCGGTCGCGAACCACACCTCGCCCATCGACTCCATGGTACTGGCGACCGACAAGTGCTATGACATGGTATGTTCCAAAATATATAGGCAGTGGTGAGAAAAAAAAAAACGTTGTAGGATCATGCTTCTAGATTTATTCTGAAGAAACAGCAACACAAAGCGGGAACACCAGTGCAGCAATGCTATTAGTGAATGGTAAATACAATGATACGAACCAATCGCAGCAACACTTACTACGCCAACACTAGCAACAATAGATTGGTCAGTATCAGTACTGTACTATACTATAGCAGTAGTAATAATAACACCAATAATAGCCCCTCGATAACAAGTACAGCAATAAAACCCCCACAAACCAGTTTTATTGAGAGAGCGTTTAATGTGGAGTGTCTTTTTTTGACATATCAGCATGCTAGTTCTTTTGTTGTTGTTTTTATGTCATTTACGTCTGCTTCAGGTTGGCCAGCGGTCGAAGGGAATCCTCGGCGTGTTCATGAAGGCGCTGGCGAGGTCCTCGTCTCACATCTGGTTCGAAAGGACGCAGGCGAAGGAGAGGTCCCAGGTGGCGCAGATGTAAGTCGGAGAGAGAGAGAGAGAGAGAGAGAGAGAGAGAGAGAGAGAGAGAGAGAGAGAGAGAGAGAGAGAGAGAGAGAGAGAGAGAGAGAGAGAGAGAGAGAGAGAGAGAGAGAGAGAGAGAGAGAGTGGTGGAAAGGGAAGAGGGAAGGGCGGAGAGACGAAGAGGGTGGGGTGAGAAATTAGCGGGAAAAAGCGAAAAGATGATGGTAGATGGGAAAGGAAGAGAAAGGGAGAAAACAGAGAATGGTAAAATGAGGTGTAGGGGAAGATTAGGAGAAGATGAAGGGAAAAAAAGAAAGAGATAAATAAAGACAATAAAAGGGTAATGAAACAAAATACAGAGGGAGAATGATTAGGAGAGGGAGGAGGAGGAAAGAAATAGCATGCCATATTTATATGCATAGATCACCTAAACCATCGCCGTGGCCATCTTTAACCATCCATTGATTTCCCGTTTCAGGTTGCAAGCGCACGCCCAGGATACAACCAAGCCCCCGATCCTGATCTTCCCGGAGGGCATTTGCGTCAACAACACGGCCGTCATGCAGTTCAAAAAAGGGGCATTTGAGGTACAGCTGAAGTGGTCGCATCTTTCCCCTTTTCTATTTCTTTTCGTCAAGCTGTTGGTATGCTTGTGTATGCCGTCTTCTTCGCACGAACTACAGAAGGAAAATAGCTTGTTAAACTGAAATGTAAAAGTAGGATGTCTGGAGAATATCTGCTTATCTGCGTCGATCTGATTTCTTGGCAACGATGGCCTGATCAGACAACTTTCTCATTGGCTCCCGTGTTCGTGTTTAGAAATGAAGGTAATAGTGCATATGCATATATGTATATATACATACATACATACATACATACATACATACATATATATATATATATATATATATATATATATATATATATATATATATATATATATATATATGTATATGTATATGTATATGTATATATGTATATATATATATATATATATATATATATATATATATATATATATATATATATATATATATATACATATATGCATATATATGTACATATACATGCAGTGTTTATAGGCTTTATAGATTAAACATTTTAGAGATATGAAGAGGCAAGTTCCATTTCCAATCAGTGTCTGGCCCCAACGCACCTGACGCCACGAACTCAAGGTAACTCCGAAGGCTGATAAGGAAACCAATCTAGAAAGTGCAAACAACTGCAGATATCGCTGATTAGCGATGCAGGCTCTGAAAGACTCTTAGATTTTGTGCATAATAAGAATATGAAAAGAATATTACATATATACATTACGTATTTTATACACGTCAGTGAGTACAAAACACACACACATACACACACACACACACACACACACACACACACACACACACACACACACACACACACACACATACACATACACACACACACACACACACACACACACACACACACACACACACACACACACACACACACACACACACACACACACACACACACACATACACACACACACACACACACACACACACACACATACACACACACACACACACACACACACACACACACACACACACACACACACACACACACACACACACACACACACACACACACACGCACACACATATGCACACAGTATTGTAGGTGACTAGACATTAAATTGTAAAACTAAAAATTCCTTCTTTCAAGAAGAAAACATCCACTCTGCCTTTTCTCCCCAGATTGACAGCGTGGTCTTCCCCATCGCCATCCGGTTCGACCCCCGGTACGGCGACCCGTTCTGGTACCAGGACTCCTTCGGCGTCTATCTCTTCAGCATGATGACCTCGTGGGCGATCGTGTGCGACGTGTGGTACCTGCCCCCCATGCGGCGCGGCGAAACCGAGTCGGCGGCAGCGTTCGCGAGTAGGTTAGTATTCGGCACTTCTGCTCTCCGTTTTTGTTTGTTTCATTGGTCTACTAAGGTACTGTACTAGAGCACTATCCATGTGCTGTTTTGCATGTTTTTCTAGCCATTTTTTTCCCAACGATTATTCACATCTTTACTAAAATCATCTCTCTCCTCCAACCATCCTTCAACACATCTCCCTCACCAACTCCACCGCAAAAAAAGAGTGAAGGCACTCATAGCTCACCGCGGAGGCTTCGTCCAGCTGGCGTGGGACGGCTCCATTAAGCTGGCGCAGAAAGGGAACGCGCTGTGGCGGGAGAAGCAGACGCAGTGGAGGAACAAGCAGCAAGTTGAGTTCGCGAGGCACCTGAGCGTGAGCGAAGACGAGGGCGTGACGAAGGATGGGAATAAGGAGGAGCGGAAAGACAGGGCAAAGGACAGGGGAAAAGACTCGGAAGAGAGCGCCTCAGAGGATGTATGCAGTGAGGGGAAGAAAGAGGTCTGATGCATGACAGGGGAAAGAAGAGAAACGGAAACGCGGGAAGGGAAAGTGTCGGACAATTGGAACAGGAAGGAAGTAAGGAGAGGAAAATGAAGTCAGAACAGAGGAAGAGGGGAGGGAAGAATTAACGAAGTGGAAGGGAAACGGAAACCATGCAAAGAAAAACAAAAAACAAAATGAAATTGTGAAATGAAAGAGAAAGAAAAGAGAGCGAACGTAAACAAAGGAGCAGAAAGGACAAAAAATAGTAAAAGAAAATACTAAATAAAGGAAAGAAATGAACATGAGGAATTAAATGTTTCTCTTTCAAATGCTTTACCGCAAGATACTCACTGTTGGTGCTATACATTGAGCATGACGGGTCATGTAGAACAATGGCGTCTATTGTATGGAAAAGGAAAACAATGTATAATGTATGTTGTAAGTCAATCAATAAATACCAAAATACTAATTTATTTTCCGCATATTCGTCATGCGCAGTGTCACATTTCTGTCTCTGTCTGTCTATCTATTGATGTCTATCTACATCTATATCAATCACTCAATCAATCATCTATCAATCTATCTATCTATCTATTTATCTATCTATCTATCTATCTATCTATCTATCTATCTATCCATCTATCAAGCAAGCAATACTTCAATCTATCTATCTATGTACCATCTATCTATCTATGAGGGATAGAGAATGGGAGGGAGGAGAGAGAGAGAGAGAGAGAGAGAGAGAGAGAGAGAGAGAGAGAGAAAGAAAGAAAGAAAGAAAGAGAGAGAGAGAGAGAGAGAGAGAGAGAGAGAGAGAGCGAGAGAGAGAGAGAGAGAGAGAGAGAGAGAGAGAGAGGTATGAGAAACAGGAAGAGAAGCAGAAAAAGGTGAGAGGGAAAGGAAGAGAGATGATAATGATGTTGCTAAAGAAAGTTGTAGAGGTAAAGAAGAGAGCATGAGATTAAAAGTTTTGATAGGGACATCAATTATCATTTGCTACATTAGACTATCTGTTAATACGAATTTTCATTCAATAGATGGTTACTGGTGAATATCTAAAACAAGTAAATGTGACAGACATCAAAGGTCATATAGCAAGCACAATGATAAAGTATTGTGGCGGAAAGAGCAATAATGAACTAGTGATTAATGTAAAGTGTGTCAGACGTAAAAGGTTGGACAGCACTATCGGTTAGGACGGTAATGAAAATGGGTAGAGAGGGGGAACTGATGTGGTATAGTGTAAAGTAAGGGTTTTTAAAGGGGAAAGGGGTTAAGGGAGAAGGCAGGTTAAATCAAATGGAGGATATTTATGCGTCCGAGTAAGGAGAACAAGTTGCCAAAGAAAAGGGTAATGTATGGGGGTCAGGGAACTGAATAAGTGAGGGAAAACAGAGCAGAGGGAGAGGTGGATATAAGAGAGGTTGTGGTAGGAGAAGAAGGGGTGGAACGTTTAGATTGTCTGGTGCGACAGATAGAGTGAGAAGGAGGAGGGGTAGGCACCGGGGACAAGGTTGTTGTAAAGCGGGATCAAGACAGTAGGATGTACAGGACTGTAAGAGGAACATTACATGAAGAGCACAGAGGTGGCTCAGATTGTGACATGAGATAGGAATGTGTGAGGCGAGTGTATCCAATTTGTAAGCGAGCAAGTGCAGTTCCCCAGCGCCTGTTCTGATGATAAGAGTTTGACCAAGGGGAGATAGAAGGTTTTATGGTATGTAGTTTATTGGTGGAAAAGCTAGACCAGAGAGATCGCCAGCTTTGAAGCGAGGATAATGTTCAGTGGTTGGCATATGTGAAAATCTGAGTTGAAGGGATGTGGACAAGGCGTGTTAAGGCATCTGCCTGTTCATTGCCGGGGATTCCAAATTTGTGTCGCGCGGATAGATGGAACAGTTGGTCCTGGGTTTTGCAAAGGGGTTGATGGGCTGTACAGACTGTAGGAGTTTTTGTGTAGAATGAAGGAAGGAGGGGATACGTGGGTTTTAATGCGAAGAGGATCGCGTATAATTCTGTTATAAGGACGCTAGATTCAGGTGGAAGTGGAAAGCTGAAATTATAGGAGAGGAAAGATTACAGCGAAACCAGCATCAGAGAAGGATTTGGAACCATCTGTATAAATGTGAATAGTGGAGGAGTGAGTAGAGGTATAGCTGAGAAAATGAGTGAGGACAGTATAGGGGGTTGTCTGACTTTTTGTGTATCTATGAAAACAGAGGAGCACATATAGAAGGAAGGTACAAGCCAAGGCGGGTATTATTGGACAGAAAAAGGAAGGGAATGGGAGAGATGAGCATCCATGCGGCAGATAAAGGAGTAGGTATGCGCGGAGGTAAACGTAGGAAGAAGGGATTGAGGGACCTTTGTTGAGAGAGCAAACTGAGGGAAACGTACAGAGCTCGGGAGAAAGAGAAGGGCACGGCGTCGAGAGAGGGAAGGTGTGTCTGATTCAACGTAAAGGCTCTCAACTGGAGAGGAGCGGAAGGCGCCTACGGCTAAACGCAGACCACAGTGATGGATAGCTTCAAGGTGGGTAAGAAGAGAGGTAGTGTCAGGAGAGTAGATATGGCGATCATAGTCAAGAGTGGAGAGGATCAGGGCATGAAAATGGAGGAGAGTCCCAGGATATATGGGAGAATCTGTATGAGTCTGAGGTGGCGGTGGAGGATGTGGTGCAGATGATGTGGTCTCGCCAGGAAAGTTTGGAGTAAAAAATATCACCATGGAATTCGCCAGAGGAACAGAAGTAGAGTAATATATCGTATAAAGAAGTTCGGGACCTATTCGCGATCGGAAAAAAAACAAAGGGATTTGGAGGTGGAAAAGTGAAAGCCATAGACAGTGGCCCAAGAAGAGTTTAAAGATATTGCAGACTGGCTAGGTTGACTGAGAGAAAATATGGAAGGTAAAGCCATCTACGTAAAGGATTGATTGGATACATGGTGGTAGTACCAAAGCTGAGCCATTCACGGCCAGAAGGAATAATGTGGTGTGAGTACACTGCGTTGTGGGACACCTTCAAACTTTGGAAAAGATGATGAAGTTAAAGAGGTAAATTTAACTCGGAAAGCACGATTGGAAAGGAAAGTCTCTATGAATACAGCCGTATGACATGGAATGAAAGCTGCGGAAGAATGTGGTAGTGTCATATAGTATCATAAGAAAAAGGCTAATACCGAGCCATGGTGTGCAAAGGCAGATGTGATGTCATTTTCAAAACGTGGGTTAGCTGTGCTCCAGTTGAGAAGAAGAGAGAAGGCTGTGGGATTCAAGGTACCACGTTAAGTTTAGGTTTACCATTCTTTCTAGAAATTTACATAAACAGCTAGTTAGAGAAATGGGCCGGTAGTCTTGAGAGAGGATGCCGAATTCATTAGGTTTAAGGAAAGGTAGGATAAGCGCTTCAAGCCATTGAGGAGGAAAGTTTCCAGTTGTCCAAATATTGTTAAAAACTGCCAGTAGGAAGGACAAGGAGGTAGGTGGGAAACGTCGCAGCATACAGTAACGTATACCGTCAGGGCCTCCATGTGTGTTGTGGCAGGGTTGTATTTCAGAAAGGAGGGAAAATTAAAATGAAACACTTGTGAACTAGCGGAGGAGAAAGATGCGAAAGATTGTGCATGGGTCAGTGGTTTGAAAAGGAGGTATAACATAGGGTGGACAAGTATATAGGAGACAGGGAGAGAGTGAAGGGATGACACAAGATGATAACCGAAAATCGATACTGGAGGATATGTAAGGAAAGTCTCTTGGAGACAGACATTGGATGGGTTATAGGAAGATAGGAGGTGACGAAGGTTTGGTCTGTGAGAACGAAAACCTTGAATATTCCACTATAGAAGAGCCATTAAGGGTAGAAATGGGTGCCAGAGAAGAACCCGGGGAATAAAGTAGACCAGAGGAAGGTGTGGTATCAAGAGAAGGATCCGAGGACGGACTGGAGGGGATAGTGGGGAAGGAAGTGGGGTTGGTGTAGGTGGAGAAGGAGAGGATGGGATGTATTTGGAGGGAGTGGGGGGAAAGAGGTAAGGGGAATCTGAGGAGGAGGAATGGGAGTAGACAGCCTGGAAGGTGGATGGGAAGGAGTGTTCTCTTGAATGTCTCGGATATCCTTAAAAGTTTCTGGAGGTTAATGGTTAGAAGAAATTAATATGCTAGACATCAAAGATCATATAGCACTCTGGTAAACTATTGTGGCAAAAGGGTGGAAATGAGTTAACAATCAGGATAGGATGCGTTAGATGTCAAAGGTTGTAGAACACTGTAGGATATAATGATAGTGAAAGGGGTATTGAGGGGGAGCAAATGGAATACGGTGGGGATTTGTAAAAGGGGATGTGGTTAAAGGTATAGGGTGATCAGATCAAATGGAGAGTCCCCATGCACTGTATGGAGAAAACTACAAAAGAACTATTATGAACAAATCAGTGGGTAATACCGTACGAAACGATAGTTGTAGAAGTAGGAGAAGAATCCGGATGATTAGATAAAGGAACAAGGGAAGGTGTTGAAGTATCGGGAAGAATGCCAGGAGGGAAGGGATCCGGAGAAGGACATTGTTGTGACATAAGGGAGACACGTGAGGATCTAGGTAGGCTCGGTAAGGATAATGGGGAAGAAATATGGTGATGTATATGGAGGAGAGGATATGGTGTTTTTTGGGTGAGTGAGAAGAAGAGGGGTAGGGGGAACTTGAGGAGGCAAATACTTTGAATGTAGAGCGAATGGGAATAGAGGGATTAGAGGGGTGATGAGGGAATGGAGCATTCTCTTAGATCATGTTTAGGAAGTTTTGGATGCCTTTAAGAGTTTCTGGAGGGGTGGGAGGTCAGAGAAACAAAGGTTTTCTTATGTGGAGGAGAAAAGGGGATAGGTGTCCGAGGAGCAGAGGGAAAGGTGGGTGTAGGAAAGGATGTGGTTGAAGAAGATGGAGTGGAACGTTTAGATTGTCTGGTGTGATAGATAAGAGTAAGAAGGAGGGGTGAGCACCAGTCTCAGACTGTCTGGATTTAGACTGAAAAAAGAATTTTGGGGAGAGAGGGAGTAGAGATAGGATGGTTCAAAGCAGAGGCAAGAAATACTCGGAGAGATGCCGAGACATCTTGGGAAGATGGGAGACGAGCGGACAAAGGACATTTCTGGAATAGGTAGAAAGAGAAAAACCTTGTCGGCGTGCTTCTTGTCTGGCCTCACGTAGAGTGAGGCGTCGTTTGAATATGAGAACTGCTATCTCAGAATCGAGCTTGTAGGCAGGGCAGCTCCTATAAAATGCATTATGGGAGCCACCACAGTTGGCACACACAGTCCCAGTACAAATATTAAGGGAGTGAGGTTAGACAGGAAGAGGCTTGCCAGTGAGGTCAGTCAGAGTAGATAGTGCACGAGCTTGGGACACTTACGTACCTGTGACAAGGCGTGAACGATCGAAACGACTGCGAAAGGAAACTTTGCCTACTTATTTTGGAGATACCGTTGAAAGAGAAAGATATTATCAGAGTACAGGGTTGTAGGGGGATCACAAAGAATTGATCCCACTTGGCTGGGCCAAAAAGGGTACTCAAAAGGTTTGAAGAGGTGGAAGCAGTAGAAGGACGAGGGCGGGAGGAAGATGGGGTGGCATGGAGAGAGGTAATACTGTTGAGAGGAGGGCAATAAAGGGAATGGGGGTAGATAATGAAGAAGACTGTGCAGTAGTAGATAGAGCAGAGAGTGTTGGGAGAGAGGAAGGGGTGTATTCTGAAGGATGAGTAATGACCTGGGTTGATGATTCGGAATGAACAGAATTAATGGTAAACATTGAGAAGGGAGTAATAGTATCACTGGTCGAGAGCCTTAATGCGCCTAATGAAGGTAAAGAAAAATCTTAATTATTGGTCACGGTGGTCTTGAAATGAATGTGGAGAGGAGACGGCCTACCCCTCAGACTCACCATGAGGGGTAAGGGCTAGGCGATTAACCAAGGGAATACTGTGCCCATGGCTCCCGGAGGCCGTTCATGACTGACACAAAGCCAGCCTTTCATCCTTTCAGCACGGCTCTCACGCATTTGGAAGTGGACAGAAGGGGATGAAGAAGTGAAAGAAAAGGAAAGGGGGCGAAGAAAAGATCATGCAAAATTAGTTGAGGCAAGGGCTGAGGTCCAAGGTAGAAGTGATCCCCTACATTGGGCCCCTAAGACAACATTGGGGGGGGGGGGGGGGGGGGGGTTCTGGAGGGGAGTTGGATGGAGAGATCTGGGAAACAAAGGTTTCCTTATGAGGAAGTGAAGAGGAGATAAACATTTGAGGAGTAGATGTAGGAGGAGGAGCTGATGTGGTAGAAGATGGGCTGGAATGTTTGGACAGGTAAAACGAAGCGGAAGGGCACTCACCGGGGGAGTGGTGGGAGTGCCTGGATTTAGAATGGTGAAAGAATTTGATTGGGAGATGAAGAGTGGGGGAAGAGATGCTGGGGAAGATGTAAAGACAGCTTGGGAAGAGTGGAGGACAGCACTGAAGTAGGGAGTGACTTAAACCAACGTTGTGTCTTCCTGTTTGGCTTGCTACCTCAGACTCAAACTTGTAGTTAGGGCAGTTCCTATGAAATACATGATGGGAGCCACCACATTTGGCACATGTATGCGATTGTGTTGGGCAGTTTGAACGGCCATGACTAGGTTGGGCACAAGGGGAATCAGGCTAGGGAGTGGCAGTGTTTGGAAGGGCAGCCAACATTTTTGACACTGACGGGAAAGGGGTCAATATGGGGTCAATATGGTCGGACAAGGCAGGACTGTCCGCCAACATAGACCTCTTAGGGAAGGTCATGTCTATGGAAAGTGATCTTGGCATTATTGATGTAGGACTTACGACGACATCTAGGGGAATAGTGTAGCATTATACTGATACTGCATCTTCGTGAGTGAGGCAGGCAAGTAGGTCCTCTTCACAGTCTGACCATTCCTTGTCTAGATGGGGGAATCAGCCGGAGAGATGGAAACAGTTTTGGTACAAGTATTAAGGGAGGAGCGAGGCTGGGCAGGAATAGGTTTGCCAGTGAGGTCAATCAGGGTAGAATTGTAATTAGAGAGGAGGAGGTAGAAAATGAAGGAGACTGTGCAAGAAGAGAATGGGTGGAGGATATTAAGAGAGAGGATGGGGTGTCTTTTGAAACTGAGTCATAACCTGGGTAGATGGTACAGGATGGGTCAAGTTGAAAGCATGTGTTGAGAAGGGTGTATGGGAGCAGTGGTCAAAGCCGTGATCAAAGGAAAGTCCGGGTTCAGTAAACCAGAGAAATTAGATTCAGGGAGACTAGCTCAATATAAATGAGCTTAACAAGAAATCATGTAAAATGAGTTTGTTTGCTCTTGAAATGATATACTGTACATGGAATTTATTAATTTCTTTATTTAGGTACCATATTTCTGTGGCACTGCATTTACACAATGAAAATGACTTAGTCCATCAAAACATGTAACTAAATTAGCACCCAATAGGCACTAATTTTTGCAGGGTATCTTTTGTAGGTTTTATTCCACTGAAAAACAAGGTCTGTAATAAAATATTTAATCCTTTACTATAAAACAACTACAATTTTCAGTATACAGGGTGGTTACACAGCCCTGGTTGAGAGCATCACCCATATTTTATAACAACGACAAGGCTTCTAATAATGGATGCCAACAGCTGTGATATGATACATATATGTTGACTAAGTAAATGTTGATTGCACCTAATTCCAAATTGCACATCAAGTCTATTAATATATATGTACATATATATTATCATTTCAGGTTTTATGAAACCAATAGATGTCTTTTCCATAAATGTGCCTCTACAGTGGTAAAAGAACATTTAAAAACTAATTAACAAATGAAAAACACATAAAACCATGGTGCTATAAAAAAAAAACAATCACTTCCTGAATATAAAACAAAACAAAACATCCTTTACTTTAGAAGGGTCTTCCCAAATCTTTCCTCACTCTACAAACTGTGGACATACCTTGCTAAACTATACTATACACAAACCAAAGTACTTCACCGTCTCATGTACACTGTCTTGATAATAATATTGCTGCTATAATATACCATCAACAATATTTTATGTCATGCTTACTAAGAGAGTAACTCCCTTAAAGTATCCAATTCACATCAATCCTTTGTAATGAGACATGTCTACCATATGCCTGCTAAGGTTTGCACTTGGCTGAATGATAAAACCTTTCATAACTGATATACTACAATCCAGGCTAAAATGGTTACAGAGAGTCTACATATAGGTTATGTATGATTATATGATCATGTGCAAAGAACCAAGGAAATAGAGGATAATCAACTACTACCACTGTCAGCACAAACTCACTGAAATCCAGTAATTTAGTGTTACTCTTAAATTAACTGGACTGGTAATGGTTAACTTCATAAACAAGTTCAATATCAAAAGAAATACAAATAAAAAACAACCAAAAGTCAAATCATATCATAAAACACTTCTTCTGGAATGATGAATCAAATGTCATGAACTTTTCAAGGACAGAAGTATATTACACACAGTCAAATTACCTAAAGGACCAAGAATACATACTAATAACTGTATTTCAAAAACAAATAACAGCTGGGAAGCCAGACAGAATCAGTCAAACTCAACGTACTCAATTGAAATTACTCTCATTAATAGAAATTCACTTTCCAGAAAAAAGTACCTTTGGGTGAGACTGCTGGCTGCATGCAACTTTGTGTATAAAACAATAATACCACTGACTCTTCACTCAATGGAGCCACCTGACTTTTCCTGGTTATCACCACACAATAAATTTGGGAAAAAATATATTCAAATATGATTCCAAAAGTTGACTGTTAAGTGCAAGTGAGTTTAATGGACAACTTAATGATCCTGATATCAAAGCCCACCCAAGTGCATAATACCTTTCCAGGTTATCACATATGCATTATAACTGTTATCACTTCTTATATATTGAACTTTACATTAAATACTTTATCATATCAAAACATACACTTCTTATTGCTATTACTACTATGCTCTGATTCTGGGCCAGACTAATCACAGAA